TTTCTGATCTTGTTATACTCGGTCCTTGTTGCTACATCCTTATTTCTGATCTTGTTATACTCGGTCCTTGTTGCTACATCCTTATTTCTGATCTTGTTATACTCGGTCCTTGTTGCTACATCCTTATTTCTGATCTTGTTATACTCGGTCCTTGTAGCTACATCCTTATTTCTGATCTTGTTATACTCGGTCCTTGTTGCTACATCCTTATTTCTGATCTTGTTATACTCAGTCTTGTAGCCACATCCTTATTTCTGATCTTGTTATACTCGGTCCTTTGTGCTACATCCTTATTTCTGATCTTGTTATACTCGGTCCTTGTTGCTACATCCTTATTTCTGATCTTGTTATACTCGGTCCTTGTTGCTACATCCTTATTTCTGATCTTGTTATACTCGGTCCTTGTTGCTACATCCTTATTTCTGATCTTGTTATACTCGGTCCTTGTTGCTACATCCTTATTTCTGATCTTGTTATACTCGGTCCTTGTTGCTACATCCTTATTTCTGATCTTGTTATACTCGGTCCTTGTTGCTACATCTTTATTTCTGATCTTGTTATACTCGTTCTTTGTTGCTACATCCTTATTTCTGATCTTGTTATACTCGGTCCTTGTTGCTACATCCTTATTTCTGATCTTGTTATACTCGGTCCTTGTTGCTACATCCTTATTTCTGATCTTGTTATACTCGGTCCTTGTTGCTACATCCTTATTTCTGATCTTGTTGTACTCGGTCCTTGTAGTGACATCCTTATTTCTGATCTTGTTATACTCGGTCCTTGTAGCTACATCTTTATTTCTGATCTTGTTATACTCGGTCCTTGTTGCTACATCCTTATTTCTGATCTTGTTATACTCGGTCCTTGTTGCTACATCCTTATTTCTGATCTTGTTATACTCAGTCTTGTAGCCACATCCTTATTTCTGATCTTGTTATACTCGGTCCTTGTTGCTACATCCTTATTTCTGATCTTGTTATACTCGGTCCTTGTAGCTACATCCTTATTTCTGATCTTGTTATACTCGGTCCTTGTTGCTACATCCTTATTTCTGATCTTGTTATACTCGGTCCTTGTTGCTACATCCTTATTTCTGATCTTGTTATACTCGGTCCTTGTTGCTACATCCTTATTTCTGATCTTGTTATACTCGGTCCTTGTTGCTACATCCTTATTTCTGATCTTGTTATACTCGGTCCTTGTTGCTACATCCTTATTTCTGATCTTGTTATACTCGGTCCTTGTTGCTACATCTTTATTTCTGATCTTGTTATACTCGGTCCTTGTTGCTACATCCTTATTTCTGATCTTGTTATACTCGGTCCTTGTTGCTACATCCTTATTTCTGATCTTGTTATACTCAGTCTTGTAGCCACATCCTTATTTCTGATCTTGTTATACTCGGTCCTTGTTGCTACACCCATACTTTTTATTGCCTTGGATGAGATCTACCCAGGCATCAAGTAAGAGTGTTTTGGAGCAAAATATTGTCTAATTCCACATTTTGGGCCCCACCCAAGTCCCTAGGGGCGGAATCAACTTTCTGAATTCAGGAAATAATTCTCCAGCCACAAGAAAGTTTCATACCATATTTGGTTTAAATCCATTCAAGCAGTAAGAAAGATTTTCCCATTTTGGGCTCTACCACTAGGTCTATGGGGGTCAAATCAGATTTCTATATATAAGAAATGATAACCTACCTGCAATAATGTTTCAGACCAAAGTAAAATCTACCCAGACTTAAAGAATTAGTGGTGTTTTGAAGTAAAAAAAAGTCTAACTCTCCATTTTGTGTTACTGCCAAGTTCCTAGAGGTCTAATAAACTTTCTCATTTCAGAATTATTTGCCAATGCCTACTGATGACACAGACAAAATTTGAATGAAATCCATTCCAGCATTAAGGAAGGGTAGCTTTTGGAGCATATACATGATAATAAAACATAATTACTACTTATATTATCTGATTTCAAAATATACTATGGTATTTGATATATTCTGTAGACCTTTCACGACCACTTAGTGTTGTAATAAAATATCAACATGTCATGAGGTAGATAAGAGGCCTAAGGGCCTTAATGGTCACTGGAGTCACAATGCTTCCTGCAACATGCCACAGAAATGATCTTGTGAAAAAAGTAAGATAACTACATTGTACACATATAGGCTTTCAAGTCACTTGTGATAAAAAGTAACGGCCTGTTATAGGACTAATTTTTTTTCAAAAATGAGGGCAAATTTTAGGATTTTTTAGGGGTTTTTAGGACAAAATAAGGGATTAAGTTCACTTTTAAATACAAAATTACTCACCACTGGGTGGATGGCTACAAGACCATTAAAGCTAATTACCAACCCAGAAGATCATACCAGTGGCCATCAACAGAGGTATTCACCATTCCAATTCAAGCTGAAAAAAAAAGACAAAACTTTATTGCATATAAAAGGATAACAAATTAACTTGGATTAACACATATCAAATACAAAGTACACATATAATGGACACACATATGGATCATTGGCTGTATCAAATAAACAGAAGTTGAATATTGTCCTACAACAAATAAGATCAAAGTATGAAATCAAACCATAATCAAAATTACATCATAAATAAACCTACAGTTATTTTATATGTATTCCAAACCCGGCAATATCAAAATTACATCATAAATAAACCTACAGTTATTTTATATGTATTCCAAACCTGGCAATCAAAATTACATCATAAATAAACCTACAGTTATTTTATATGTATTCCAAACCTGGCAATATCAAAATTACATCATAAATAAACCTACAGTTATTTTATATGTATTCCAAACCTGGCAATATCAAAATTACATCATAAATAAACCTACAGTTATTTTATATGTATTCCAAACCTGGCATATCAAAATTACATCATAAATAAACCTAGTTATTTTATATGTATTCCAAACCTGGCAATATCAAAATTACATCATAAATAAACCTACAGTTATTTTATATGTATTCCAAACCTGGCAATATCAAAATTACATCATAAATAAACTGGCTACAGTTATTTTATATGTATTCCAAACCTGGCAATATCAAAATTACATCATAAATAAACCTATTCCAAACCTGGCAATATCAAAATTACATCATAAATAAACCTACAGTTATTTTATATGTATTCCAAACCTGGCAATATCAAAATTACATCATAAATAAACCTACAGTTATTTTATATGTATTCCAAACCTGGCAATCAATATTTACATGTAGATCCTGCTTCAAAATGATTATGCTCAATAATCCTAAAAAAACATGTGTTTTTCACATATTCCAAACACGGCCTTAAGCACATGACAATTAAACTAAGAATGCAATAGTAACTTGTATACAGGTAAGGTGTAACAACAATATAAAGAATGTCGGGTTCTTTTTAAGACAACTTAAAAAAAAAAAAAAAAAAAAATTAATAAAAAAGATAAGTACACAGTTCAATAATTCTCCTTTTTATCTAACTTTTAATCATATAGATGATCATCATCTCATGCATATGAAAAAAATCCATACATAAACAGGTTTTTATATCTCCCTTTATTTTGATAAATGAATGACTAACATAATCACAAATGGTGTGCTATGAGCATAGCAAAGAATAATATGCTTCTGTTTGTAATATAAGACAAAGAACATATTTGATATCCCTCAGTTAGTTTTCATTGGGATACAATCCGAATATCTATAGCTATGATATACTCACCATATTAAGGTAGATCGGCATGGCTCGAGACAATGCTGAGTAGCCCACTTGATAACCACCAACATGTCTTCTAAGCTGTACACTTTATCAAAGTACTGAAAGCAACTAAGGGTAGATTTCATTAATTCCAAAAGTATTAACTAATATGGATTATGAAAATTTTAAACATCTAGAAAAAATAGGATTTTCACCAAAAGTGTAGGGCTTTTTTTAGGATTTTGGAGCTTTAATTAGGAACACAAGGGCTGAAGTTAATAAATAAGGAAAATTAGGAAAATAAGGGCCCGCTTGAAAGCCTGCACATAATACAAATGTAAATTGTGTATAAGATCAACTGCTGTCCTGTGCTTAGGCTTCTTACCAAGTTTGAATTAAAAGAAATTACACCCAAAATCTTAATCTTCCTCTGTAAAATCTTCCTTCCAGGAACAGTAGAACATCTTTGCAATTTCAGTCAATTTGATCCATGTTTTGACCCCTGAGGGTCAGCAGAGGTCACTTAAGTACACCTCACCACACTGTCATATTAAACTAATGATTAGTCAAACACTTTAATCCTGATCAAACAGGCTTTCTGTCCTGATGAAATATAAAAAATTTAATTACATGATGTGATGTAATTGCACTGAAAATAGAAATACACAGGTATACTACAAATGATCTATGTTGACAAAGTGTTTGAATCTGTATCTCGGGTTTCGGATTTGGTACATAAATTCTAAGGAAACAAATATATGTATATATATTCAGACCCCGGGAAATGAAAGAGAAACTATTAAGTTATATGTATGCTGCCAGTATCACCCCAGTTACTGTATATTTCAATTCTCTGTGTTTAAATTCCTACAATCAAATTAAGAAGTAATCAAGATATTACTGGTTTAAACATTTTCCTGTACTCCTAACTCAGTAAAGAGATGAATCTGTTTCTTTGTTGGTGTAAACACTCTCTCCATGTAGCCATTATAATGGGTTGGTGTCTTGTACTTGGTCTGATTCTCAAAGCCACACCAGTCAAAGGGAGACAACTCTCCACGCCTAAAATACCATAAAAAGGACTGTAAATGAACTGGTTTATGATGTGAAAGCAAACAGATTTTGCTTTTTCTGAGAATTTTCCAAAATAAAATGGCTTTACTGGACGAAAAAAAAGTTAAGGATCATAAAAAATGAAACAACCTTTTAAATCTTTAAAGAAACGTGACAAACCTTGGAACATTTTAAATGTCATGTTTGTTTAGAAGCTACCAAGAGCTATTAACAAGGAGTAACAATACCAGGTAAATCAAAGTGTTACATCATCAGAGTCACAGAGACAAGTCCAGAAATTGATATCAGAGGCTTAGTAGGGAGTATGATCTCCAAAACGTTACAATATTTTCGTTAAAATATACAAAAATCAAACCTCAGAATTTCCTGAGTATTTATCAGTCATTTATTCACACTAACAGTGCACTAGAGCAGTACAATATAAACTCATGATACACATGCATACACCCTTACCAACACATTGGCTGTACATTCAAAAAAGTAAGGGAGCCAATATGGGTAACATATAAATTCCTCTCAGAATATATAATGGTAACAATTTATGACCCTTCACTTATTTTGTCCAGTAAAAATCATGTCAATTATATGTAACAAAGGTCATTATTTAAACAAGGAACCTCTGGCTTACTAATATGCTCAATCAATTAAGGTAAAGTTCTCTCCAGCCAAGAAATGTATTGCCTCTAGTATTTACCAGGGTTACATACTTCCCTTCCAGGACGGAACTTTTCCTCAAGTATCCAGGAGTTACAAGGAAGTGTATGGGACATGGCTAAGTACTATTGAGTTACTACATCATGTACATAGGCACCAATAAAACAGATCAAGCTAAAGAGGCGTTCTCTACTGCAGCTAGTTATTTACCAGGATTACATAAACATTATACCAAAGTTAATTAATTCACAGTTGAAGGTGACACCAAGACAACATCTGTCTCCCTATGAATTCCTCAAAGCATGTGGATCTCTTCCTAACTCAGTCCATAGGAGACACAGATTTCTACAATATTCAATCTAAAAACTTCTAAAGAAGCCTACAGAAAAACTGATATTTCAAAATCTTCAAATACCTTGTATTTCAAGTAGATCCAGAACAAATTCTGAAATAACTTTCCATGAAAAAATACAAAAATGTTAATTACATAAAAGAACAAAAACTGTAAAAATTACAAATACACAATATCCCAAGGGAAAATATAAAACAATCTGAAAAAGAGAAGATTCCAGGAAAATCTTTAGAAATTATCCTTCTTAATGTATATTGCATATTTATTCACACAGGCATCACAGACACAACACCATTCCACAAATTACATTGTCTACCTAAAAGTCTAACTGTTCATCAGTCTAAGGGAGATAATCGGCCTCAGGATCACAAATCATCACTACTCTGACTTTGACTTCCATCAGAAAAGACCTCACACAATGAAGTCTCAAGATACTGTGCTGCATACATCATTATATAATTGTAGTAATTAAATACAAAGGGTGTTAACTGTCTGTTCCCATCATCATACAGTTGGTTTTAAATTCTGGAAAGAGGCCAGACAGCTATCTCTCAATTTATCAAACCCAAATGGTAAAATGAGACTGCCACCTTCCTCAGTGCCTCATGTGTCTTATCTTGTGAAGGCAAGGTGAAACTGTCATCCCTCTCACTATCCTTTATACCACATCCTTATCCCAGTCCAGAAAATGTCCTTCCTACTGGGACCAAATCCAGTGAACACAAGCTCTGTTTTCTGTTCTGGTACAGCCAGGATCTATACAGGAGAAAAAGAAATTCATTAAATGTAATCAGGACAATTATGTTAGATATACACTTTTTCATGATTTTAAACAATATAACTTCCCACAATGTTTTTGATGTGAAAAGTCAGTGAATTTAATGACAATTGATTAAAAATGTATATCATAGAAATCTTAGAAAAGATTTACCTCTATTTCCCATATTTTACCATGCACCTCTGACCCCAGGGGAGCCAGAATCATAGTTTATATGAAATTGAGTCCCCTTCACCAAAGGATGCTTCTGCGCAAATTTTGACAAAATACTTTCATCTCAACAAAAGGAGTTTAAAGCTATTACACTTAGACAAAATTATTCTGCCTCGACAGGAGAAGATAGGTTTGAAAGGGTTTTGGCGACAATTTTATTTCAATTACAGCAAGCCTCTATTTTCCAATAAGAAACAACTACATATGCCATGCCTATTTAATTTACATACAAATCGGTTTTACAGACAAGCCTATCTAAATGTACATATATTGTGTATTGTCAACATAATGATATATAACATCAAACTCTTTATTTATATCTATTCTGTTATCATTTTTTTTGAAAGAATAGCTTTAAAGGGACACATTTATACACTTAATTATTACACTAAATATTGTGTCCAATAATTCCCACACTAAAGCCTATATATTATTGACCTTTAACCTTGTCCGATGATCACTAAAATCAAATCAAGTATAGATCTTGGTAGGGTTTAGCTCTGGTGGGAATATGAAGTAAAACTCAAGGGGTTCATCAGATATCTTAATTGTATGTAAGTATTTTTATTTGAGAAATAGTGAAGTTGTGACATTTAATCTTAACCGATGACCACCAAAACCTTTGGAAAGGTAATTCTATAATAATCATTTCTACAAAAGATCCACATGAAGTTAAATGAGCCATACTGATTTTTTCCTAAAATACATACCCAAAGATATTTAATGTTTATGTCAGTCCTATTTTAGAACTTGGATTTGTTTTCTTTGAAAACTTACTGAAAATATTTCCTACATGTGTGATCTGTGTAACATTAAAGATCAAACAGAATCATTCAGAGACACAAATATCACAAACAACACACAAACACCTCCAGGTCTGCTCAACTACAGCAAAGGTCAGCTTGATTGTTTCATTCAATAGGAAAAATAATCAGCCTCAACACCACCTGTACTGAGAAGACAAAGTATACAAGACACACTTTTGTGATCTAAAAAGAAACCAAATTCAAAGAGATCCCAGACGGATCTTGGTGCACACTATTTTCATTTGATCTTTGTTGGATTTTTTCTATTCTTTTCTCCTCTTTCCTTTTTTTCACTCTTAATTATATGAAATTTGAAAATTCCCTCTAAAGAAATAGTTTTTATTCTTTAAGTGCCAAATCCAAGATAGCCAAGTCAACCATTTTCTTTTTTCACATCTGTTCTGAGATCAAAAGACCAAACTAAGGACAAAGGTGCACCTATATATCAAATTTGAGAAAAATCCATCTTGTATTTGTCAAGAAATGGTGCTACAAAACTATTATAGGCAAAGTCAAAGATGATCACCTGTTGGCTATCCTGTATTTTCAATCAAACAAAAACAAACTGTGACTGTTAAAAATCAAGATGGTCATCGGTCAGCCATCTTTCCTTTCAGTTTTAAAATAAACTACACGCAAGTAGGGACCAAGGGAAATCAACAAATAAAATTTGAGAATCATCCATCTTGTACTTTGGGAAATAGCGATAAAAAAATATGACTGCCAAGAAAAATTGGCTGCCTGTCTGCCATCTTGATCGTCCAAAATTATCTATAAACAACTAGGGACCAAGGCAAACTACATATGAAATTGAAGACTTATACACTGGGTACTTGTCTAGAGTTAGCAATAGTAACAATTGTTTAAGGACAAACAGACATATGATATGTAACAACAACTAAAATATGTATAGGACCACCTCCACATGGTCGTATTAAACTATTATATGTTGAAACATCATGATACAAACAGAATCATCCCAGAACACATAACACAGGTGTTAGGAAGAATTTAAAACCCAGACAAGGATCTTCAACACCTTGATAAAAATTCACAGCAGAGGAATGAACACCATAACAACTTGTTAACCTGCTACTCTGGAGACTGTTCCAAGTGTAGACAGCATTCCTGGTATGCTCGATGGTCCCGAGTTTTAGCCATCTCCATCTTCAAATGACACCTGAGGACTAGATGTTGGTGCTACTGAAAATGAAACAGATTTACTCAGCACAATAAGTACTAGATCTTTCTATTCAAATGCAGCATGGAAATCATATATAGTTCATGTTACACAACTAGTAGAAGATTAGTGTGACGTTTCGATGACTACACAGTCACCTTATAGTTCTTATAACACAGCCTTGAGAAGATTATAATGTGATGTTTTGATGATTACACAATCACCTTATAGTTCATATAACACAACCTGCAGAAGATTATAATGTGATGTTTTGAAGTGTACATGGTCACCTTCATCAGACAAATGACAAATGTGGGACATACTGATGTATGATAGTCATTATTTCGGACCCTGAATCTTCTGCCTCTTTCTCCTAATAGATAATGTATCATCTGAATAAATTAGGGGACGTAACCAGCGTGAACCAATATTTCGAGAATTTTGCAGTTACTTCCCCTGTCACAACAATTTAACAGAGGTACTGTTAGTGAATTGTTATCAAAGGATGTACATACGTTAGCCAGTATATATAATTTTGTCGCATGTCCATGAATGTATTGAAATGATGTATACCGTTACCAGTTCTGCCAAGTGGAGGCCTCCTCTTTTCAGAAATTGTTTTGTGTTATGTTAAATCACTTTGACAACATTAAAACGTCAGCCTTGAGAAGGTGGCTGCCTGGCTGGTATTTAATCTGGAATGCTAATTACTCCTGAAAAAAAAAAGTAGAAATACATTGATATAAGAGACGAACTTCAATTTTCAACACAATGTCAGGGTATTTCCGTTTTTATGTCATTACACGGGAAAACATTCGCTCTGTGGTGTATGTGACCGCAATGTATGTACTGTATTTTCCCCGGCTATAAGTCGCAATGGTATATAGGCTACAGAGCCAGTTTTTCAATATTTGATCCACATATTTAGCCACAATGGTGTGTTCTTATGATACAATAACAATTATGTTGATCAAAGTTTGTTGATAAAACAGATAATGGAAGGCAATTGATCAACATCGTCAGGGAAACATTTGATACAGTTTCCAAATGAATTATGCACAAATAATCCTTTATTCTATTGATATATTTAAACAAAAAATCTTATAATTCAAAATACATGAAATAGCAAATATCATACATATTTGGCTCGGTGCCATCAGAGATTGTTTACACAAAGGTATACAACGAAGTTACGTACAGTTTACTAAACTATCTCTTCACCACAGTCTATACAATTAAATATCAATGAAGGCCCTTGTTGACAAAATTCTTAAAGTCCCATAATATTTCATTTTATATTTAAATTACATGAAGCCATTCATATTGTAAACAAGCATGGTGTCCATTTTTTTACCAATCTCCAGATGGCCTATCGATCCAAGGGAGCAATAGGCTTAATTGTAAACTTGGTCCACGCCTTCTTGCTGTGAAGTAACCGTGAATGTCAAGAAGATGTTATTGTGATAAAAAAAATCCACAAGAATGTTATTTTCACTGCAATTTTCAAATTATCTTGTATACCATTACAAATGATGGTCCTACACTATCTGTTTCAATCACAAAGACGTGGTGGGCAGATACTCGTAGAAATGCAGTATCGTACTGGCATGCTCCCTTTTCTGCATTCTGCCGATATCTTTTAATGTCCACATCTAAACTGTACCTGTATATAAGCTACACACCCGGCCAACAAGGAAAAATGTGTGGCTTATAATCTGGAAAGTACGGTATGTATAACTTTATCATTGCTGTATGAATTTATCCTTACCTTCAGTTGTTGTCAGCAGCTGTTGGCCTGATTGTGGTAGGGCAATAGATCTCTCCGACTGTCAAGAATGTGGAACTTGACATCTCCTGGTCAGCATACTAGAAAACAAATATATATGTCATCAGAGAGAGATGTATGCAATTCTAGATACAAAATAAAAATTCTGTAGAAACCTTGCAAAGCGTAGGGTTTGTTTTTTTGAGAAAATAAAGGTTCGAAGTGAGGGGTAGACTCATTCTGTAGCTATAGGATTTTCAAAAAACATTTTTCGTGGAAAAATCAAAGATTCTGTGAGGCCACCATCACTGATTGTCAGGGTTATCTCTTATGTTAAACTGACAAAGGATTGAACAATTTATTTATGAACAACAATAATAAATAAGATAACTACTGTATATGTAAACAATCCAAGTAAATATCATGCAAATGTTCAAAAATGTGACAGCAACTAGCAAGACAGGAAAATATTGATTGGTAAAGACAGTGGACTGTTGACACATTGAAAAATATGGCGGTTATGATATGATTGTCTTTTGAAACACTTACATAATTGACTGTTAAGAAATCAACAGTTTCATTTTGTTTGATGTTGGATATCACATCAAAGAGTTCATGAGCACATGTCCATTTCTGTGTGCACTGGGAAAAGTTAGCCTTGACATATAAGTATGCAGACTGTGGAGTAAAACTTATCATCGGACTATGGATCTAATTTATTATTTATTAAAATCAGTTTTATCAGTGTTTACGAAGCATATCTATGAGTAATAATAAATAAGGATAGAGAAGACCATATTACCAGGTTTGGTCATTAATAGGTGGATGGTTAGACTTTGTATCGTTGGTCTGACTTGTCAGCTCGTGGAGATTGTTTATGAATGAATTTTAGAGTATTTTCAACCTCTGCACATTATGTAGGCGTCCACATTATGAAGGTTTTTACGATATGCTACTTAAATAGCAATAAAGGTTTAAATTGTATTATGATATAAATGTACAAATTTTACATATGGATATTTCTCATCAGTAAATTTCTTCACCTGGTCCTAGAGCATGTTGATTTTTCCTGAATGTGCCTGTAGTAGGTGGTCTGATGGCAATGCAGGGCTTATTCAGTGACATGTCACGTTTGGAGGGTGACAAGGTGGCCTGTCCTAGAAACGCTCACCTAGTATTAGTTTGCTGAAATTTACTGATCTTAACTATGGGGAAAATATTTAAAACACTTGTATCTACTTCCCCGTAATAAGTTCCAACTTCCTCCAAAACAGGTTTAGATGCAGCTGTTGGTAACTAAGTTCTCTTCACCAAGAATGTCCAATTCCAACATAATAAAGATGTTGAAGAATTTGTTCTATTTTAAATAATTTAACACTGCCCGTCTGGTCCCAAAGGAGACGAACCAACTGTTCATACAAAATTGGTCCCCTTTTCCTAAGCATGACTCACACCATTTTGGAACAGAATCTAGGCATTTCTAAATGTACTGTTTTGGGTGTGTTGTTTGTACTGTGTATTGTATACTATCACTGTATGATTTATTACCAGGATTCTCCAGCACCATATGCAGGGAAAGTGGCAATTATAATTATCTAAATATTGTTATAAACCTAATAATTATTCCTTATTATGAATAGGTTTTAAATCATTAATTAATTGTATTTTTTATAAACAGCTAAAATAGTTGTTATCACTAAAAGTCCATGTTGGGACTCGGGGGGAAAAGTACTAAGCCATGCCCCACCAGCATTGCTGTAACCCCTAGAAACTCCAGGAAGAAACCCAAACATTTTACAAAACTGATTCCTCTTCACCCAAGGATACTGCAGAGTCTGAAAAATGCACTCGTCCACCCGTCCTGGACAGGTTAAAAATGGCCCAGGCCGAGCGGTTCTTCAACTGGGCTCGTCACTTGGGATGAATGCAGTTAGTTTTTAACGCCAGCACCAATACAAACCTGCTGTCAAGAAAAGAAGTATGTTGTTGTTAGCAGAACAGCACAAGCAGCCTGCAAAAAGGTCCAGGTCTGCTTGAAAGTCTGACTACAGGAGAGGTCAGCTAGATCCCAACATCCATCTATGTAGGGGAGACAACCGGCCTCAGGACCACCTGTATTGAGAAGAAGAGGTGACAACAGATTTATTAGAGACATGTTAACAATCAGAAAAAAACCCAAAATAATGTAACAACAACATCAACAACAACAACAATATATATGACTACCTAATGAGGGAACCTCCATGTGGTGGTAGTCGGACAATGTTGTATACATCAGTGTACAATAGCTAATACCCTCAAATCAATAAAAACTTAATTAAATTTTCAAATCCAACATGCAGTCACTGAACTCTAAATGACCATAACACACATTTGAATTTAAACAGTACTGCCTATTATTATTAATAAAACGAGGTTCTGAATTTATGTGCTCTACATTTACACATAAACTATTATGACAGAGATGGGAACAGTCCAGATCACTTGACAATTCTAAATTTTCAAAGAAAAAGTCTGTGTGCATGTTTCTTTTTCCAATTTAAATCACTGGGGTCCTTAAATGACAAAAGTCCATATTTTCCTGTCCTTGTTACAGGTCCAATCCAAATCCTACACAAGCCATTATCTGGGCTATCCACACAATTTTCTAAGATCTTGTACTTGTATAGTTTGAAAAAATCCTCCATCTTAACTTTTAAAAATCAGGTGTAGGAATACACAATAACACAAATATGCTAATTTGATGTTATTTATAGATGTCCTGATCACTCCAGAAAATAAAGTTTAAAATTTTTAAAAAAATTTAATTTAATTAAAATTTAAATTATAATTGAAGTGATAGATTAAAAATTAACTCACTACCTAATCAGTCATAAAATATAGAACAACCATGCCAATTTGTATGAGAATCGGTCAAAAAATGTGGGTATGAGAAATAAAAACATGGATTTTTAGGCATGTCAGTAAAGGACACTTTTATTTTGAAATTAAAAAAAAAAAAATTTTCATCAACTGTGAGCTAATTCAAACATTTTGGCACAAACAGAATCAGCGTAGGTCAAACAGAACAGGAGTTATGAAGAATTGAAAAACCCCTCTCAGACTGAGATTTTAACTCAGTTTTACATACACTTTGCTGTAAGTACATATCACAGACACCAAGTGTCAGGAAAAATTAAAAAGATTTTGCAATTATTAAGATAAAATTGAATAATTCCTACATATACCTATACAAAAAAGTTTTTCAATTTCAAATTACAACTTCATTTTTTTGTAGAATTTTAATTTTTTTTTAAATTACCAAATTTTAATATTAACTGAACATTTAATCTGCTTTAAAGCATTTTTTCAGCTTTGATTTGGACATGAAATAATTAATAGATAACAGTAAAGACTTACAGTAAACAATCACAGTGAATGACACCCATTGGACTAACTAACAGCCACATGTATACATACACAGACTATCCATGCCAAAGGCAGGGGGGGGGGGATGTTCTCTTTGGGCCTTTCTGTTTACTTATGGGGCTCTCCCTGTTTCTGAAACACCTTTGATGTTATATTATCAAACAGGCAATGATGTGCATATCACAATGACCAATCAAATGGTCAGCTTCAGTTTGATTTTTGTATTCTTAATACATCTGACTACTTCTGACTGACCACTGCTGACCACTACTGACCACTACTGACCATTACTAATATAAAGGGAGACAGAAAGAGAAGGAACAATTATTTCAAGCCTGGAAATGTTCCAAAGAATAAGGGCCAGGCATTTAAAGATGAGGATCCTGAAGTACCTGTCACCAGAGAAGAGAGACCAGCTCTGACCAGAAGACGGACCACCCAGGAATTTCAGCTGATCACCAAGCCTAGTCCTCATGGCCTTTCCCTGGTAGCAACAGATACTGGAGACAGACCATGTCCAACACGGATACTAGGGCCAGCAACTGTTACAGCTGAAGAATCCAACTCCGAGCCTGTGATAGAAGGAAACCGGATCATAAACGTAGTGTTGATGGTGAAAATGTGGAATGACATTATCAGACTTCATGCCGGACAACCTAACACTACAGCATGCATGGTACCAGAGTTTGAACTGGACACCGAGCGGAAAAGGGCTCTGGGATGGAGTTGTGCTGTCCGATGTAATAAATGCCAGTACAGATCTCTACTGTATAAACTATATAGAGAGGCAGACACCGATAAGCCGGTACACTGTGTAGGGAGGTCAAACATAAACTTGTTTCAACTCAGCTCAGAGGAAATATATCAACGCCAGCACAAATATAAACCTGCTGTCAAGAAAAGAAGTATGTTGTTGTTAGCAGAACAGCACAAGCAGCATGCGAAAAGGTCCAGGTCCGCTTGGAAGTCTGACTACAGGAGAGGTCAGCTAGATCCCAACATCCATCTATGTAGGGGAGACAAGCGGCCTCAGGACCACCTGTATTGAGAAGAGGTGACAACAGATTTATTAGAGACATGTTAACAATCAGAAAAAAAAACCCAAAATAATGTTACAACAACAACAACAATATATATGACTACCTAATGAGGAAACCTCCATGTGGTGGTAGTCGGACAATGTTGTATACATCAGTGTACAATAGCTAATACCCTCAAATCAATAAAAACTTAATTAAATTTTCAAATCCAACATGCAGTCACTGAACTCTAAATGACCATAACACACATTTGAATTTAAACAGTACTGCCTATTATTATTAATAAAATGAGGTTCTGAACTTATGTGCTCTACATTTACACATAAACTATTATGACAGAGATGGGAACAGTCCAGATCACTTGACAATTCTAAATTTTCAGAAAAACAAATAAAAGCAAGTCTGTGTGCATGTTTCTTTTTCCAATTTAAATCACTGGGGTCCTTAAATAACAGAAGTCCATATTTTCCTGTCCTTGTTACAGGTCCAATCCAAATCCTACACAAGCCATTATCTGGGTTAACCACAGAATTTTCTAAGATCTTGTACTTGTATAGTTTGAAAAAATCCTCCATCTTAACTTTTAAAAATCAGGTTTAGGAATACACAATAACACAAATATGCTAATTTGATGTTATTTATAGATGTCCTGATCACTCCAGAAAATAAAGTTTAGAATTAAAAAAAAAATTAAATTTAAGTAAACTTTTAATTATAATTGAAGTGATATATTAAAAATTAATTCACTACCTAATCAGTCTTAAAATATAGAACAACCATGCCAATTTGTATGAGAATCGGTCAGAAAATGTGGGTATGAGAAATAAAAACATGGATTTTTAGGCATGACAGTAAAGGAAACTTTTATTTTGAAATTAAAAAAAAAATATGAAAATTAAAATAAAAAATTTCATTACTTTCAAAAAAGGTAATTGAACAGAATTACAACATTATAACAGCATAAGGGGAAAAGGACTTGCTGTCATATTTACATGTGGGACCCTACAAGTAAGTACCTGATTTTGTTTTTAGCTCCACAAGCTGAACATGACCTTACCAATTGTTGAACATCTCGACACATTGCATTCCGAAATAACACTGCTGAACCGGTGTGTTCCCTGAACGCATACATGTCTAGAACAATAGGTAGAAACATCAAAGGGAGGGTAATTATAGTCTATATCATACATGTATTATATTTACCTGAGATATTTTACCTGTGGATCTACCTGTGTTACCTGTATTAACCTGTGATAACTTGCAGAAAGAAAACTAAGATATCAATATGAAGTTCAATTTATTAACTTTTCTTATGATAATATTACAATTGATTAAATTTAAAATACATTTAATATAAAGAAAGAACACAAAGATGCCAATATTTATGAATATATTCTATCATAATAGCACAATTACCTTTAAATAACATGTAACTTCAACTAAAATATCAAGTTCAACATGTATGAATATATTCTATCATAATATTACAATTAACTTTAAATTCAAATCAAATCTATAAGGTACAATATTTTGATCTAAAGAAAGATCAATGTACAACATATCAGCACATAACTAAAGACATATATACAGCACTAGGAAATGATAAATATATGCAGCACTACTACAAAAACTTATAAATATACAGCACCAGGAAATGACAAATATATGCAACATGACTATGAATACTAATAAATACACTGCACTTATATGTCACACTATTAGAAACTGATTGATGTTACAGCACTAACGGCATATACGAGACACTAAAGACTGATAAGTGATAACACTAATTCAATGATGAATATATAGCACTGACATAAATATCTGCAACAATGACACAACGTACAAAGTCATTCGTTTTGCTCAGAGCAAGTCTAGGCAAGACATTTCAACCCAAGTGAAGAAGCTCAGATGCTGCATCAGCGTACGCAATGATGTCTATGGTGTTGCTCTCCAGTCTCTGTTTCAGCAGGGCAAGGCGGGTGTCAATGTTTCTGTACCTCTTGGGTCGGGGTCGTCTGGTTCCACCGGCGCGTCGTTGGAGTCTTGCAATTTCGTTGGTAGCCTGAATGTCTTTGAATGTCTGGATGATCTCGAAGATGTTTGGATGGGCGTGTTGCACAATCTTCTTCAGCTTCCCGTGCCAGGCTTCTAGGTGGTTGGTGGTACGTGGTCCATCGTTGTCGTAGTGGTTCCAAACTGGTCGGTCTCCATCCACCCATTGGTCAACAACATAGTCCGTGAATGGTGTCACGTCAGCTGGTAGGTCGGCGTACTCAATGTCCTGTAGTGCGTGAAACCAGACATCCTCAACTTGCTGCTCAGGTACCAGAGGTAGGACTGCTGCACGGCGAACCAGTCTCCTGATGTCTTCGTTGTCCCGGTATGGAAGCTGTAGTCCAGTCATCAGTGCCTTTCTCCAGACGCATTGGGTGTAGTGGAAGAAGCAGCCCTTGATATCGGTCCCTGGGAAGACGGTGCGGATTGCGTTGTGGACAGCTGTCTCAAAGTCAACGAATACTGTGTCGGGCGACATGGGTAGGTGGTTGTCTGCCATGAATGTCTTGAGTAGTGTGAAGAATCTTGTGTAGATGTGCTGACTTTTCCCGGGTAGAAGAGAGTAGACAACTGGGTACATGGATCCATCTATCTCAATGTGTATCGTGTAGATCTGATGAAAGATGTTGGGACACGTGTAGAAAGTACCATCACAGTAGATGCGGTCGGCGGTGGCGAGCTCAGCCAAGTCCTCTGATGTGGCGAAGACAAGGATTCTGTTCTGGTCACCATCGTCAATGTGTAGGAAGCGCTCTCCAGTGTTGGTTTCCGTCCATCTTCCCTCGAGATCAATGTCCTGGGTAGTGGTTGGTAGCTTTGGTGTAAGCTTGCGTCTGGCTCTGTACAGCTGTGACTTCTTGGAGTTGAAGTTGGGTATCTTCTCTACAACGGTTCTTGTCTCTTCATCCCATTCGTTGTCACGCAGTTTGCAGAGTTCCTCACTGTAGATGGTAGGGATTGGTCTGATTTCTTTCTGGCAGCGGTCAGTGATGCAGTTCATGATCTCCTTGGCTACGATGCTTGCATGGTCTCCCGGGTGATTGTGTGGTTGCCGTCCAACTCCTACTATGATGTTGTTGCGGGTGTTGATTGTAGCAAGGCAGTTGGTAATGGTGCATCTCCAGTAAGTTCTGAAAGAGAAAAAGAAGATATTAATGTCTGGTTCACATAAATGTATAGTTTGCAACACTTGAGATTTATATGTAGAAAAAAAAATCTATCAGTGTTTCAAAGCAACACTTACTGTGACTTCAAGAGTATGATGTATAAAAATATGATTTATTATTTTCATTTATTTATTTATTCATCAATTTACTTTTTATCTCTAATTATTTCTTCCTTATTGCATACATAAGAGCAAAAAAGTCCATTGATACAATTTATGAGTTTTTGTTTCAAGGATAGAATTAACAAAATATTTCTTTTTACAAAACAACTTTTACATCAGTATTTACCTTTCTCCTCGAGATGATCTAATTCTGTACAAGTAACCATTATATGATAAGTTGTTACCCCCAAGTCTATTTCTAATGAACTTAAAATTTAACTGAGCGTTAGCCATGATTGGGAATTGAAACACTAGAAGATTTGTTGAATGATAGCAAAGTAAATTATACCAATGTGAAAAATGTGGGAGCTTATATAGATAAACTGCATGAATAGCTTGGATACTCACCTCAAAGTGTCATGTCATCTGTAGCTTTGGTCCTATTAACTGAGTTCATCAGTTTTTTAATTGATCTTTGAGAGGTGAACAGTTTTAGATCAATTAATTTATTTAGCAAACATCATTTGAATATAAAATTTACTATACAAACACTTTTTAAAGAAAATAATCAAAATAATCATATCAAGCAGTTATTGTGATTTGAATAAATGAAATTGAATGCATGCATAATTGTGCATAAATTAAAAAATATTAAAACAAAATTGTACACAATTTATATCCTTCATCTTGTAAATTGAACATTTCTTAAATAATTTGTTTAAAGTTTATATATATAATCCATACAATTGTAATTTCTTCTGTTTTTTTTACTTTAAATAAGTCTATTATACACTATATGTCCTCATCTGTAATTTCCCACCCTAAAATCAGGATGCCTGTACACTCACAGGTAAATACAGGTAACTTGTACAGGTAAATATAACTACCTACACAAGGAAACAGACTATAATCACTGTGTAAACATATCACCCAAGACATGTTTTTAAAATGTATGCGTTCGGGGATACAGCCGCTGAACCTTACCTTGGGTCTTTTTAAAGCCATGATGGCCCCTTGAGGGTGTATCATGGGCTTGTCTCCAAACTTTTCTGACATGACCTCTGGTATGTGTCAAGGAATTCTATCCATCAAATATATCAATACAGTTTAGTTGATCACTTCTGAGCATTTCTAATCAAACAGATTTAACGAACATAGCTGTACTTTTTCTTATTCAATACATAACTCCATCTTGTAATTAAAATATAATTTGGCATGAGGAACATTCTTTTTCAAAGGAAAACTGACAGAATGCATTAACTGGTTACAGGACACCAAGCAGAAGCTGACAGACCCTGAGGCATCATTCTAAATTAAAAATCACTCACAACCTGTCTGCCAGTAAAACATGTAACTGTTGCAATAGATGTCAATACACATAAAAAAATAATATATGAGACACTCAAAATGTACGTGCAGAACTTTACACAAACTGAATAGCTAAATTTAAGAGTAAATTATCCAAACTACTGCCTATATGCCTCAAGTAAACTTCCCACTACCTGACAGTACAAGCTTCATGGCTGATGTAAGGAATGTGCACTTTCTGCAGACTCTTAGCACCATCATCGAGCAGAATAAGGCACAATCGAGAAGAAAACTGACAAGCAGAACCAATTATTTTTCTTCTGATTGCCTGGAATAAGTCTCAAATCTCAGTCAAAAATCTTATTATTAAATTACAAGAAACTTGCAATTTACCAAACATCTAAATACAAAAGTATTACATGAACTAAATACCATCCCCTTCACCTATTACCTACAACAGTAATTACATGTACACATAATAAAAACTATACAAAGAAAAAGGAAATAACAAATATAACAAAAATGATAGACTCTTCTGCTGGCATCGAGTGAGTTATCTCCCTTAGACTAGATATCAGTGGGGAAGCCATCACAAAACAAAATTCTAACAACAAGTATCTGAGTATGTATTTCATAATTAAAAGTAAATGGTAAATAAATGGTTCCAGCTTGATCAGAATCACATTTTTTGCTTCATCAACTAATTTCATCGTACTCTAAACTAGACCAAGACAGCTGCCAAACACATGAGTTGGCAGAAAAAAAACTCCACCCTAACAATTGTTGACAGGGAGCAAGAGCAGAGTTTACCTGTTTTGTTGGTGTTTGAAAAAAACAATACTGATGACCTGGGGTAACCCCGCTCGTCAGTTTCCAACTAATACATCTGATAGAGCTGAACCTCCAGCCACTCTTTTAATATACCTGTTAATCCACATCTACTACTAGCCCTCCTATTTGCTACCCCTACTAATATAAACACCATCTAAACATACTACTAGTCTTCTTACTTGCTACTACTAATCCAATACCTCCCTAATATACGTGTTAATCTGTGCCTTCTTCTTGACCTCCTATCTGCTACTCCTACATCTTTAAAATCCCCTACAAACCTACTCTTCATCCTACACCCCCCTAACATACATGTTAATACCTGCCTTCTCAGGGACCTCCTATCTGCTACTCCTACACCTATAAACTTACTCCTCATCCTACGCCCCCTAATATACATGTTAATCCCTGCTTTCTCCTGGACCTCGTAACTGCTACTCCTACTCCTATTAGCTCCCCTACAAACTAAATCCTAATCCTACACCCACCTCAGATACATGTTAAACAGTGCCTTCTCCTGGACCTCCTATCTGCAACTCCTACTCCTATCACCCACTGTCAACTTACTCCTAGTCCTCCTACTTGCTGCTCCTAATCTATACCCCCCACCCTTAATATACATGTTAATCCCTGCCTTCTCCTGGACCTCCTATCTGCTACTCCTAATCCTATAAAGCCCCTATAAACTTACTTTTAATACTACACACACCTAACACACGTCAATCCTTGCCTTCTCCTGGACCTCCTATCTGCTACTCCTACTCCTATCAACCTACTCCTTCTCCTAATCCTACATCCCCGCTAATATACATGTTAATCCTGCCTTTTCCTGGACTTCCTATCTGCTACACCTACTTCTGTAAACCCCCATCTAAACTAACTCCTTCTCCAACACTCCCCTTAATTTACATGTTAACCCCTCCCTTCTCCTGGACCTCCTATCTGCTATTCCTATACACCCCCTCTATACCTACTCTTAATCCTACTTGCTACTCCTACTCCTATAACCACCCTATAACCTAAATCCTCATCCTACATCTCCCTAACTCACATATTAAGCTCTCCCTTCTCCTTGACCTCATTTCTGCTACTCCTATAAACCCCCCTACAAACCTACTCTTCATCCTACATCCCTCCCTAATACACATGTTAATCCTGGCCTTCTCCTGGACCTCCTTTCTGTTACTCCTACTACTATAAACCCCTATACAAACATACTCTTCATCCCATACCTCCCATGATATACATGTTAATCACTGCCTTATCCTGGACCTTCTATCTGCTACTCCTGCTCCTATTAACCTCTTGAAACTTACTCCTAATCCTACATCTCCCCTAATATACATGTTAATCCCTGCCTTCTCTTGGACCTCCTATCTGCTTCTCCTACACCTAAACACCAATCTAAAACTACTCCTAGTCCTCCTACTTGCTCCTCCTAATCATATACCCTCCCTAATATACATGTTAGTCCCTGCCTTCTCCTAGACCTCCTATCTGCTACTCCTACTCCTATAACCCCTCTATAAACTAAGTCCTTATCCTACACAACTCTAACACACATGTTAAGCTCCCCCTTCTCCTAAACCCCCTATAAACCTACTTCTAATCCTACACCCCAACCCCCTAATATACATGTTAATCCCTGCCTTCTCTTGGACCTCCTATCTGCTACTCCTACTCCTATAAACTTACTCCTAATCCTACATTCCCCCTAACATACATGTTAATCCCTGACTTCTCTTGGACCTCCTATCTGCTACTCCTACTCCTATAAATCCCCTGTAAACTTACTCCTAATCCTACATCCCCCTAATATACATGTTAATCCTGCCTTCTCTTGGACCTCCTATCTGCTACATGTTAATCTCTCTTCTTCTGGACCTTCTATCTGCTTCCTACTCCTATAACTCCCCCCCCCCTATAAACCTACACCTCATCCTACACTCCCTTAACATACATCTTAATCACTGCCTTCTCCTGGACCTCCTATCTGCTACTCCTACTCCTATAACCACCTTCTAAACCTACTCCTAATCCTACACACCCTAACATACATGTTAATCCCTGCCTTCTCTTGGACCTCTTATCTGCTACTCCTACTCCTATAAACCTACTCCTAATCCTACACCCCTCCCTAACATACATGTTAATCCCTGCCTTCTCATGGACCTTCTATCTGCTACTCCTACTCCTATAAACCTACTCCTAATCCTACACCCCTCCATAACATACATGTTAATCCTGGCCTTCTCTTGGACCTTCTATCTGCTACTCCTACTCCTATAAACCTACTCCTAATCCTACACCCCTCCATAACATACATGTTAATCCTGGCCTTCTCTTGGACCTTCTATCTGCTACTCCTACTCCTATAAACTAAAACTTACTCCTAATCCTCACCCCCCTAATATACATGTTAATCCTCCTTCTCTTGGACCTCTATCTGCTACTCCTACTGCTACTCCTACTCCTATAAATCCCCCCTATAAACTGGACCTCTACTCCTAATCCTACATCCCCCCTACATCTATACATAACATGTTAATCCCTGCCTTCTCTTGGACCTCTATCTGCTACTCCTACTCCTATAACCCCCCATAACATATCCTACTCCTACATCCTCCTACATATAACATACATGTTAGTCCCTGCCTTCTCATGGAACTCCTGTCTGCTACTCCTACTCCTATAATCCCCCCTATGAACTTACTTGTAATTCTACATCCCCCCTAATATACAACTTAATCCCTGCCTTCTCTTGGACCTCTACTCTATAAACCACCTCTCCTACTCCTACTCCTATAAACCTACTCCTAATCCTACACCCCTCCATAACATACATGTTAATCCTGGCCTTCTCTTGGACCTTCTATCTGCTACTCCTACTCCCTATAAGACCCCCTATAAACTTACGTGCAATCCTACATCCAAGATAAAATACAAGTTAGTCCCTGCCTTCTCCTGGACCTTCTATCTGCTACTCCTATAAACCCCCTCTAAACTTAGTCCTAATCATACATCTGCACCCCCTAATACCCATGTTAATCCCTGTCTTCTCCTGGACCTCCTTTCTGTTAATCCTACTCCTATTAACCTCCTCTAAACCTACTCCTAGTCCTCCTATTTTCTACTCCTAATATACATGTTAATTGCCGCCTTCTTCTGGACCTCCTATCTGCTACTCCTTCTCCAGCACCTGTCTTTACAACGCTTAGACCTAACCTAATCCTTGCTTTACCCTAACATATAACTTCCTAAATTCCTTAAAGTGAGGCGCAGCATTTCATGGACCCTTTCACCGAACAGTCTGGCAGAGAGGAGGCACCATTGAACCCTGTTCTCCTGTCCTTGATCCTTCACGTCAAAGGCCTGAGTTAGGTTAAGGCTGACCTGACAGCCCTTGAACACCACCAGGCAGAAGGTTTGAGGCTTTGTCCGCCATGAGATGTGAAACTCTCCCTCCTTCCTAACCCCCGACATTTCCAATCTATAGAGGATAATGTGGAATACCCCCATAAATCATGCCCTATCATACCCCCCTTGAGTGCAAATCATTGCAAACCCCACCCCACCTTTCACATGAAATACAACCAGCCCTGGCCTAAATCCTTCCCCAATCAACATATCCACTAAGTCTACCACATCCTGTACTCTCCCTACCGACTTTACAATTAACCTCTACCAACTCTAAGCCAAACTTACTAAAGAACTTTCCCTCCCTGTCTCCCTTTATTAGCCCTGCCTATCAATAAATCTATGGCCAATAATGACCACTTTCCCCTGAACATAGTAGCTGTAACTCAAACTTAACTCTGTGGTTAACACTTACCTACAATAGAATTAAAATTAAAGATGTTACAACCTAAGTAATACATCTAACTAACAATAAGTCCAAACTAACACCTACAATGCTGAAAGTCATTCACACAAATCTTCAGCTATAGTGTAGTGCAAAACCCTCAAGGTCACCTGCCTGGTCCACGTAGACCTAAGGAAATGTTGATAACAGAGTTCAATGTCCAGCTGAGGCACAACATTGGGGATTTCTCCAATACAGTTGCATCCTGAGGAAAACAGAACTTCCACATCAATTGTTGTGGAGGAAAGTCACAAACTGTCACTTCCCTTAATTAGTTTTCAGTTGAAAATTTCTTCCACCAGCTGGAAATTCTCTTTGCCACAGGCAGGTGTCACATCAGGTTCACAGGAGTCCTTCTGTGACTCCCTCCCCGGGTTGGTGTGCCAGCGATGCAAGTACATATGAAAAGTTGAAAAAAACTATTCACTACTATCATAATAAGTAATTAAACTAGTAGAATAGAATCACATTATAACAACATTAACCTAAATAATAAACTCTAAGTGAGATCATAGGTCCCACAACACATCAACTTCTGCGGCCGTCTATGTTGACGTCCAAGTCGTGATACTGGGCATACCCACAATTCCTCCTTGGGTTCACCTATCTCTATGGGTTCATGTTTGTCTATATAGTCCACCTCATATCGCTATCTACACTGTCATGCAAAAGAGCCAGAGTGTCCTCTAAGAGTTCCTCCCAGACATCATCACATGCTGGTTCCCAAGTCTTGTCCCGATCAGGAACCTGTGCTTCCATTCGACCCCCAAGTGCCTCCTCCTCTTTCTCATCCCATGGGAGATAATCCTAAGCCACTGTCGCCTCTATTCTTTCATCATAAGTAAAGTTTCAATCCATTAAAGTGTACAGCTTATTGATTCCTGCTCCCAGACCTACAAAGGATATAATTAACATCTGACAATGTTGCTTCAATCAGAAAAGGCCCCTTCCAATATTTCAAAATTTTGAATCTCATCTCTCCTACATCTGACGGTATAAAGCAAAACATTATCATCACCCCTAATGACAACCCATGGATTTTAGAATTATATTGAAACTTCTGTTCCCTCGGCTATTGTTTTACATGTTCCCTTACAATAGTTTCCAGAGGCAAATGGAGGTCCAAATCAGATTGGTCAGTACTTAGTATCCCAATTAAGGTACAATTAAACCTTTCCACCAACCAGTCACATCTGGGGTGATACAGAGAGGTCCTAGTATTTCTCATCCCTAAGATTTTGCAAATTTTCTTGAAAAGGCTTGGACTCAAAATCTGGACCCTGGTTCGTGTTAAGAATGCCACACCTAGAAAAGGACTTACCAATAAGTATCTGTGCTATGGTTTTTGCTTCCTAATTGGGTAAGGGGGATGCCTTTTTTCACTTAGAAGAAAAATCTCCTACTACTAATATTCATTTGTTTCTCTCTGTTTGGGAAAGGATCCTAATAAGTATATGACTATTTTCTCCATAGCTTTACTGGCTGTTGTATCAACAAGAGAGGCCCTACAAGTACAGCTCTTCTTAACCCCGTAATCATTTTTTACAAAAACTTAAATGTAATTTTTCGATATTGGATGCTTTATTCATTCCCCAGACCTCACAACTATAATTCAAAATACTAGCAACATATGTATCAAAGACATGAAGTTGTGTTTCAATGTTAAAATCAGTTTTCCTGCACACATTGATTACAGCAAAAAGTGCCTTTTTTCCTTGTACTGCAATATTTTTTCTGAGTTTTCCTGAATTTTCTATTGAAAGTTAACAAAACACCTATGTAATTAAACTCATTGATACTTTCTAGTTTGCATCTGTTCCATTTATCACTTTCCTTGATTTACCCCCGTTTGTAAAAACCATCACTTTTTTTTCTATATTTATAGTTAACCCCCAATCACTGGTATATATCAACAAAGCATCTAACACATTTTGTAAACCCTCAGGTGTTTTCAGTTAACAGAACCATGTCGTCTGTGCACAATATTAAATATTTTTCCTGTCTCGCCCTCTTAGATAAGTTTATATCATAGGTTTTGCCTGTTAAGGAAGTCAAATGTTTTCTAATAATCAATAAAGCAGCAATACAATATATTCTTATAGCACTTTACTAGTTAACATCTGCAGAACAAATTTCAATAAGTCGTTTATTCAAAATTGAAGTAAAAAGTTTTCCTAAGCAACATATTAATGTGATACCACAATAGTTATTTGAATCATTTCTATTGCCCTGTTTAAAAACAGGTACTATGTTAACAACAGACCAAGATTTTGGATAGTTTCCAGACTTAGAAATATTATTAGATAATAATACTAGATGTGGTAGGAGTATATCTTTATCCTTAATGAAATATTCATTTATTCGTAAGTTGTAAGCACCAGCTTTGGAAGTATGTTATTTGTTACAATTTTTTCTTCAGTAATGTCATCATCTAATTGGGTGGTCGGGTGGCGCAGTGGTAACACACTCGCCTTTCACCTAGCTGACCAGGGTTCGATTCCCGGAACAGAGGTGAAAAGGTAAGGGGTCACCTGCCCGACCACGTGGGTTTTCCCCCGGGTACTCCGGTTTCCTCCAACAATAAGACCCCTCACGCGCTTACATCCGGGCCAACAAGAGTGATTGACATAACTTGTTTCGCAATTGTTGTAAAATAAATAAAGTTTATATTTATATCTAATTCTTGAAATATAGAGTCAGGTACATTTCCATCTATGTAAGCATTCAAATATTCCAAATCATTTTTTTTTCTCATAAATCTGTGGACGATTATACATGAAAATGATTGAGGAAAGCTTGCTCATCTATATTACAATGTAAATTACTAGTATTACCATGTTTTCCAGGCAATAACCTGCACCCAAGTATAAGCTACAGGGCTGGTTTTTAGCAATTTTTTTTAATTGATCCATGATGTGGAAACCGTTATGTTGACCAGGATGTAATAAGCTATTGTAAACTTCCTCTATGGCTTCTGAAGCAACCATGAAAGTTCAGAAGATATTATTGCCATTCATATTAAAGCATACAATTAATTAAGTAAATCCACAAAAATGCTATTTTTAATTCAATCATAAAATCATCCTGTATATGGTTGCAAATGACATGACGAACAGGTAATCATAAAAAACTTGGAACCGACCTCTTGTACATATGTACTGGTATCCTTGGTTTAAATCACTATTTTTTTTTTTTTTATTCTTAGCGGAAGCATGACATGTTACAGCAACCAGAATTATCAGGGTACAATGTCACAGAGGTCAATAGTGCAAGTGAATGGCCATTCCAAAATACATAACAGTCAGGAACTGATATCCATATGATACGTTTAGTGTTATTAACATCAGGAACATATCTTGATGTACTTGACAAAAAGTTTGCAGCATCATACCCAACAGTGTCGTCTTGGATAAAATCATCATTACTGGTTGTCTATTAAAATCACCAAAGACAAATACTTTCCCAATACCTCTATACATAGAAATCTGTCTTCAAATGAAGCGAGAAGATCATTATCACATTTCTCATAGAAAGTGCTGTTGATGGGAGGAAAGTAACAAGAAATAAATAAGTACTAATGCCATCATTAGATAATGATCTTGCTAGCTTTATCAACATGATATTGTCATTACTGTTATCCACATAAGAGCAAAATTTAGATAGACTAATAAACATAACAACTCCACTACCTTTACCATGTAGTCTTGGAAACAAGAAACATTCATACTCTTTCAATTCTATCGCTGAGCTATCAGTCCTATTGGCATTGCAATATAAATACAAACATGATGTAATGCTATGGGTGTTGTCACTCTATAATGTCAATGTATTGATCAAAACCAATAATAGACCATGATGAAACCAAGGCTATGACCACTGTTTATTTCCACAAGTAAGTGTACAGGAAAATTTGGACTATGTCTTTAAATAGTCCCTTAAAATGGATTACCCCCAATCAGGCCCCACTTCACATCCAAGTATTACTGATACCGACTCAAATGAACACATGTGTTTTATTGTTATTGCAAAGTTTTTGTAACTATTTTCATTTTTCAAGATTTTCATACACATGAATATAACAAAATAAACATGTAGAATAACATTCACAATGATACACTATCTTCTTCCTCCTCCTCATCATCATTGTCATCATTCATCATCATAATATTACATTAATAATATATCATACATTATAAGTCATCATCATCATCACTACATTATAATCATCATCATCATCATCATCATCATCATCATCAAAAACAAAAAACAAAACTATGACAATAATCATTATCATTGATTAGTTTTAATCCCTAGGATTCAGGTGTATCAGTATTACCAGAATGCATTGTTTGCTATACACATGTTTTTTTAGAGAAAGAGAGAGGGGGTAAGGAGAGTGGGAGAGGGAGAGAGCAGGAGGAAGAGAGAGACAGAGAAAGAAAGACAGAGAAAGTTGTCACGGAAAATTAAACAATGTGTCTATCAAGGAGTTGTACAGTATTTAAAAGCTTCAGTAAGTATTTATGTACTTCACACTTGTCGGCATATTCAGGGTCATGTATCTGTTTCCATTTCCTCCAATTATTATCTATTTTGTGATAATTATCTCTCCTTTTCTAAC